CAGGCAGATTATACACAGTACGAGAACGTGCTGCAACCCTTTGATATCGAAGGTTGAAATGACTTGTTTGGGTGTATGATCAGCAAGTTAGTTTATGTATGCTTGTGATTGGCTAAGACGGACGTCTCTAGTATTTGAAGTGCGTGAAATTGGCCTTTCGCCTGAGTTGGCATGTCGGTTTTACCGTTTAGTATAGCATTTAGTCTGTAGGACGGTGTGGGATTCCAAGGTCTAGGTTGGAAGCTGCTGTGGTTTTACAACTCTGCGACATGCCGGAAAAGATCCCCAGCTGGCTTGTCCAGGACATGCCAGTTTGCCGAGGTCCAAGTCGATCTAATGTAGACGCCTGCATAATATGTACTATTAGCATTCCCTCATAGTCCCTTTTTTATGCAAACTTTACTGTATCACCAAAGCCATAGTCTCATCTTTTAGGCCCCGGGATAAGATTTGTCAGCCATTGGCGTTCTGCGGCTCTTACCCCATGTGTATGGGGACATGTCTACATGGGCAAGCAGGATTGGACCTTGGGAGGAATCCACCAAGGACGTGCGTGAGCTGGTGAAACCAAGAAGCTTGCCCTGTTTGGGTATAGGTCTCTTTGAAAGGCCAAGGGTCCGTTTCTTGCACGTTCAGTCCGAACCTTACACAAACCCTTCTAAAGCGTCATGGAATCCGAAGACGCTTCACTTGCTCTCGCGGAGAGGGAGTTGCCGGGGCCAAAGTATGAGCGTACCAATTTACACAATTTAACGCTGGAACTAGAAACGGTAAAGCTCCTGTTCTCGCAGTCTTTTCAATCCCAATCCTATACTTTGTCCCCGGCAATCCGGCAGAACCAGCATGGCGACAACGCACGTCGCATATCGCTGAGGGTGCGAGGTGGAAAGGCACGTTAGAAAGGCAGATTCCGGTTTACATTGCTTGTCAGCTCACGCCACATCGCACGTAGATCAGCGATCAAAGTGCTGCCGAGGTGTCAATGTTCAGAGAAAAACTCAACTGTAGCTTGCTGCTGTTGGTCCGAGGGAAATGGAGTGGTTTATAGCTTCTTTGTAGCCTCTTTGGCAGAGTTGGTTGCTGTCGGATCGGTTTGACACTGTGTGCGTGATGCGGGATCTCCGCCAGAATCTAAACAGAGCGAGCATCCCCTGAGAGGCCTTCTATTTCTTCCAGCGGATTGCGGCCGAGGCACATTGGCTTCGATGTCAGTTTAGGGCTCATATCGGGTTTACATAGGGTTTAGGGCCAGGGTTTAGGGGCTCTGAGGGGTCAACATACTTTACTATTAGCCCTACCTTAAGAACCCAAAACCCACTTTTTTGTAGATTCTTATTATAAACCCTAATATGGGATTTATAGGGACCCTACAAAAAAGTAGGTTTTGGGCTCCTAAGGTAAACCCATAAGCCCCGAACCCTGAGGTGTTTGACAATCTCCCTCCCAGAGGATGCCCGAGCTCCGTTCGATCTCTGGTACGATTATACCATCTTAAATTTTTAAGTTTTAGGGTCTAGAGTTTAGGGTTTAGGGTTTTTTTGACTATTTTCTGCAGTTATTACGATCATTGCTACTATTGTTTTTGTTACTATTACTACTAGAACTATTACGAGTGCAACAGTACCCACTAAAACCGAAAGTCCCCGTGCCCTACACCCTCTAGGCCGTAGGCTGCTCACTTCAAGCAGAGTTTTTGGCCGAAGTTTGTCGGTTCAGGGTTTAGGGTTTAAGGTTTAGGGAATAAGATCTATAATTTTGAATAGGGTTTAGAAGTTTAGGGTTTAGGGCGTACGGGTTTTTTCGCCCAATCACCGGCTTTAACTGGTCTTGAGGCGTAAGCTTTTCAGAGCTGGCGGCCAAACGAGCAAGTCTTTATACCCCGGTTTGTGGATACGTGTCATGCGAATGCATGGCTGCATTTTTAGACAGCAACAAACATACGTTTAATGTAGACTTAAACATATTTGCACATGTACATAATCTATAGGTATGGATGCACAGTCGCAGTCATGCTTACTAGCACGCGAACACATGTACACGTCGAGAGACCGGCAGAGTCAGGTACATATCCCAAACGGTGCAATGCCTGTCGGAAGGACGCCCCCCCTTCTCTAAGTTTGATTCCCGGTCTTCTTGGAAGTCGTCACAGCTTGTTATGCGGTTGCTGGTGCATGACTTTGTGACGGCGCTGCTGCTCGTTGGTGCTATTGTTACCGCTGTTGCTGCGATAGTGATAACGATGATGATAATGATGGTAAAGAATGATCATAAGGAGGGTACTGGTGATGCTGGTGGTGATGATGATAGTGATGTCGATGGCGGTGTTTGGCGTTAATCGTAACAGCAGTAGCAAATGTCTCATTGCCAAAAGCAATGATGGACATCAGCAGTTGAACCAGGGTGCGACTAATGAGGAAATCAATGTTGACATTTATCAGATTCAAGTTGTTGCTTTCGGTGCCGAGGACGGTGATGCTGCGGCTTGAGATACGGATGGTGGTGGCGTCGTGATGAGGAGGTTGAGATGATGAAAGCAATCACCTTTAACAATCATGAACACGATGGCGATGATGATGGTGATGATGCGCTTCTGTTGTTCATGACGACGATGATGGTGCAACATGAAGAGTGATGTTGATGATGATAATGATGACGGCGGTCGAGGGGCAGACTTGGATATCATGTGAAGCAACCGAGTCATGGAGCTCAGGGCCTCAAGCCCACCGCAGTCACGGTGAGTAGCCTGGCCAACGCGAACCGCCGCAGAGGAGGACAAGATGTCGGGATTCTTATGCTTTGAGTCGAGTTGGGTTGATGGTTTCGGGTCCGACTACACCGCAAAACTTCGAAACTCGGCTTCCACCAAACCCCGAGGTGCAAACCCCAGCTCCGCCCGAGTTCAGCCCTATAAGCTGACTCATCCACTCTTGTACCGCAACTGTAGCCTCTGACACAAACTCAAACAGTACTGCAGTCGACAAATAAGTGTGTACACACACGCATATGTATATGTGTATACACACAGTGCACACAAATACTGTATGAATACATTCCATGTATAGAGTCGTGTATCTGTGTATGTAAAGGAGCATGTATATGAATATGTAAGTATCTTTATATGTATCTCGATAATGTCTCTATATACATATACACATAATGTAGGGGCCTATATAGTTACCTATACTATTTTGGGGGTTCCTTGTTATAAATAACTATGCATACATACATACATACATACATACATACATACATACATACATACATACACACATACATACATACATACATACATACATACATACATACATACATACATACATGTATGCTTTGGCCTGCGAAGTTATGCACATGTTACGTATATTGTATGACGGAGAGCAGGGGCAGGAGCTCCGTCCCTCCTGGCACTGTGTCATGCTGCGACCGTCAGGCAAGCTGTCGGGCTTGGGGTTGTGTATAGTATGTTATAGTACATTATGGTATGATAAAGCACATTGTAGTATACTATAGTACATTGTCGTATAGTATGATTATAATATAGTATAGTCTAGTAAAGTATCAGGGGTTAGGGTTACTTAAGTTGTTCGGGCAGTGCCTGACATCGATCCGCTCGATATGTGTTGTTCGAGGTTGCTTGAACGGCTGTTGAGATGAAGGACTAGGTACTTCAGTCTGCAAGCTGCCTCGTGCGAAATTGAAGAAATTCCTCTGTCGATTTATGCCTTGCCATCTCCCACAAGGCTTCGGCTCCACGATATCTTGAAGTGTGGTCTAGAAAGACGTCACAGAAGTAGCATGTTCCCATGTGAGGCTGATCTACTGACCATCAAAACAGAATATTTCCGCATGCAGGCCCGATGTCGTGCTGTGCAACACGCAGTTGCGCGCTTACCAGCGAGAGTTGCGATGGCAGCAAGCTGTGCGGGTGCTGCAGGAGAGTTATCAGCTTCTTGAAAAACTCTGTGCTGTAGTAGACTTTACAAAATGCATTGTATGTTTATACTTTCATATACAACCTTGCACTTTGCTTGCACTCTACCCTGTTCGAACAGAGCGGATATGCCCGGAATTGGCAGGAAGTCTTCGAACGTTTCGAACTTCAAGCAGACGAGGCCCAGAGCTGCTTCGGTTCTCTGTTGCTAGGTAGGCAGGGCTTAGGTTTAAGGTTTCGAGTTTAGACTTAGGGATTAGGGTTTAGGGTTAGGGTTCAGGGTTTAGGGTTGAGGGTTGAGGGTTTAGGTTGGGTTTAGTGTTTAGGAGTTTAGGGTTTGGGTTTCGGGTTTAGGCTTTAGGACTTTAGTGCTCAAGATAAGACCTCGACTCCCGGAGCAATCAAAACCCCGAGCCAAAACTGAGAGCTGCGCAGCTCTCAACCCTCAAAAAGCAAAAGCCCCAAGAACAGCAAAAGCCCTAACCATCCAAAAGCCGGCAATGCCTGCGACTAACCCCTGAACCCCCAAACTTACTGAGTCGTAATCCTGGACACCCTGAATGCCCTTTCTAAACCCCCCAACTCCCCAGCAGACTGCGCCTTTGGTCTGACTTCAACACCCAAACCTAGGCAGGCCTTTGGGACATTTTGTACTTTTCCCTTGCGAAGGGCCGTCTTATCTACTGATATTTTTCAATATTGTCAATACCTTTAGAGTGCCAACGGGCCAGAACGATTCCAAATACTCTTCCTTATAGTGTCCGTTATTATACTTCCCAGCCCTTCTTCGAGCTGCTACTAGCCTAAAGCCTGGAACTGAAATCTTGAATCCTTTAAATTTGACCCATAAAGCTCTATTATATCCCAACTTGTCACTCATGGCGCCCTTGCAGTAACGCTTGGGCTTACCGCGAAAGCCTGCTAGTCACCAGTTAGGGCCAACCTTTATAGTCACCCCGAACTTGACATCCTGAACCCAACCCTAAACCCTAAACCCCTAAACCCCTAAACCCTAAACCCTAAACCCTAAACCCTAAACCGAAAGACCCCGAGGTGTCCTATGCCACTTGTATCAGTGCTTTGGAGCTCAGCCACCAGTGGCCGCTGGCTGCCGCCCTGAAGCACAGAGTGATAAAGGCAGGGCTCAAGGGACCCTGGTAGATTTACAGGTTTAGGCTTAGAGAGTTGTGGGCTGAGGGGTTTCGGTCAATTTAAAGTGCCGTGAAACACCATATTTTCCAGCTCTGCGCCTCCTTGTCCTCATGGCTGACATAGCGCCATATAGGGGACGTAGCTATTCTGTACGCTACCTGTTAAAAGGGGTAGCTGTCCGCGACCTCTTCGTCAAAACAACCCTGCCCTGCAGCCTCTTCCGTTACAAAGGCCCCCTGACTCCCGCAATAGGCGGAAATCCAAAGTTGATAACTCAAGCCCTCAATTACCCTAAACATCACTGAAACCTAAACCCCATCAATCTAGCCATCTAGCCTAGAGCTGCATTGCTGAGGTACGCCTGCTGCAGCGCATGCGAGACCATCAGATCCGACCCAGCAACTTGGCCAGCAAGATGTTGCAGGGTGTTGCTTGAGGGTTGAGGGTTGAGGGCTTAGGGGTTTGGTTGTAGGGTTGTAGGGTTCGGTGTTTCAAGTTGTCAAGGTCAAGCGGATCAGACGCGTAAAGTTAGGATGTATTCGACATCCCGCCTTAGCAAATCCCTTTCAGACAGCCTTGTCATGGTTTGAGGTGCTGCTGATTTCCAGGAAGAAAGAAGGGTGAAGACTACACTGATCCTATATGCAAACAACATCTCGACTCTGGCTTTGGCCGTCCATTGCAATCTTTGCGAATATGTCAGGGGGATTCATCACGAAAAGGTGTCGAAACAGGTCTGACGGTGTTCCCTCTTACATGGGGTCTCCCTCACAAGTATGCTGAAGATTCGAGTACTTCCATTCGCGATCTTGCACATAGTGATCTCAGATAATGGGCCGTCTCCTTCGGGCCCTCTCCTTGTAAACTCTGTCTATCCATCTCCCCAAACTCAAAACCCTAAACCCTAAACCCTAACTCTGTCTATCCATCCCCCCAAACTCAAGCCCGATTCCACTCATGAATGTCCCTCCCGGGACAGGATTCAGAGTTGTATAGCTGGTCTTAGAGTTGGGTCTACTATCCAGACGGTCCAAAGGCAATTACTGCAATTATGGAACTAGGCCCCAGCAGACCATTATGATCATGGTTTTGGGGGGCCTACAGCACCAAACTAATGGTACATGGGGTAGTTCTCCAAATTAGGGCCCCTTTTAGGTCCCCAAGATAGTACGGCACCCTTATAGAAAGGACCCCAAAAGGGATTTAGAAAACTACCCTAAACCCTAAACCCTAAAACCTAAACCCTAAACCCTAAAACCTAAACCCTAAACCCTAAACCCACGGACCTCTTGGTTAGGGTTTAGGAGTCTTGAGATGTCGGAAATCCTGAGCTTCGGATCCAGCCCGTCCAGTCTCTCCAGGCCTTGTGGCCCTGGGGTTTAGGGTTTAGGGGTTTAGGGTTTAGGGGTTTAGGGTTTAGGGTTTAGGGTTTAGGGTTTTGGGGTTTAGGTTTCAGGGTTTCGGGTGTGAAGGCCTTGTGGCGTACAATGCGACGATGGCCACCTGTGAGAGCAGCAGCCAATGGGAGAGGAGTTCCGATGTCCACCAGCCAACCTAGAAGCTTGAATAACACCGATATTCAAACCACAGAAGATTGATGAGCTAAGAATGATAGTAAGAACGACTACTACCCCCTTAGGGTCCCGTAGAATGAGGGTTTCTGGTTAGAGTTGCCTTCCAACAATCTTCCCCCAAAGCCTCCGATAGTATCGCCGGATAGCGCAGGGACGTCGAGGAACCCATGTGTCTGATTTGGGAGATTCCGAAAATACGGGGTGCCTTATTTTGGGGTCCTTACAATAAAGGATCCTACTACTTAGGGTACGTACTTTTTTAGGGTCCCCTATATTCGGAAACCCCTATCTGTCTTTGGGTTGTGAGTTCAAGGTTAGCTTTGAGTTGAGGGTTTTGGGTTTAGTCAGAATCATGGTTGCCAGTTTATAGTTTAGAGGTGTAGGAAACAAGGTTTAGAAATTCGGGGTTTGGGGTTTAGGGAGGAGCCCGGACGATTTAGTAAGTAGTCTTCATGCCGAAAATGGACGAAGCGCACAGCTTCGTTGCTGGAGGATTCTTTCACTCTTCCAGACCCTACGTGACGACGGGCTAAAGCCAACACCGGTCGAGAGCTCAGAAAATCAGGGTGTACGTGGCGTTTAGGGCTCAGGGTTGTCCCCACAACTGTTGGCGGCGAATCTTTGATGGTTTCACTGCGGAGGCGTTTGGGGGTCTGAGGATTTTATGAAGAGTTATGGGGTTTAGTTGAAGCAGACTTTGCTGTGGGCTCACCCTTCTGCTAAGTTCCGACGTTCCGCTAAGATGAGGCGGACCCTAAACCCTAAACCCTAAACCCTAAACCCCTAAACCCTAAACCCTAAACCCCTAAACCCTAAACTCCTAAACCCTAAACCCTAAACCCCTAAACCCTACAAGTTTGCAAGCCACGCCTGGACGAAAACATCCAAAGCAGAAAGTCAGGGAAGGCACCCGAAGACTGTCGCCGCCATTTCCCACGCGCGCCCCTCAACAACCAAGAAAGGCCGAAGCTGTGCTCCGAAGACTGGGAAGTGACTTTCTTAAGGTAAAGTGCTTACTTTACAGGTTTAGGGTTTAGGGTATAGGGTTTAGGGTATCTTGTATTGTATTATATTGCATAAATGATTGCGCACACCTGTGCCGACTCGGCAGTCTCACCCCCTCGCAACTCTAGCTGAAGCAGAGCCCCTAGACCTAGACTCAGGTGACTGGTGATGTTCTGCAGAGCTCCGGTTGCAGCCAGAAGTCGGAGTGCAGTGGAAGAGAACTCCGGGCGAACCAGGGGCTTGACTTGAGGTTAATGTAGGGGCCTGAAGAATTACCTGCATTATGTTGAGGGGTTCCACATTCTAACTATACTATAAGGTAGCCCCAAGCCCTGTTCTAATTATTCAGGCTCCTTTGAGGACGTCATGACGTCATGCTGTTGGCTGCGATGGAGAAGCCCCCAAAGGAAGACCTCGGGAGCCTGCTGAACCCGAAACCAACCCAATACCCTGAACTGGATAGAACCTTTAAGGAATCGTTGACCTCGTATCGCCCTTATAAAGCCCTTAGTGAACCTTCGCTATCGAAACTGGAGCTCAATAGTCCAAAGCTCGAAGCCAGGCCCTAAACAGTACACCTTTACCCTATAGCGGCACTGGAAGCCACCAGTCCAAACCTTACTCCCTTAGATGACTGGAGCCCACCGCTCAACTCACCTTGAAACCCCCGGATGATCGGAAATTTTGGGCAAGGATGGCATGCGAAGCAGACTCGAGATGGCGACTTGCAGTGGAGCTGGCCGCCAGGACGGTCTGACCTACCCTAAACGCCAATCGCATTAAACGCCTATAGGGTGGAACACACCCCCCTGCTGACCTCGCATTACACGCCTATATAGGGTCTAACACACCCCCTGCTAGCGTCGTCCTACAACTCGCATTAAACGCCACTATGTAGAGTCGAACACACCCCCTACTAGCGTCGTCGTCGTCGTCGTTCTTGTCAGCCTTCTCTGAACTCCGAGCATCAATCCTATAAGCCTACCAGACCCTCGCGTTTGAGGACCCCGTCTGGCTCTGCTGGAGCTGCAGGGCTTGTGAGCTGTTGCTGCTCGACGATAAGAGCTTCTCGAGGCTGATTCGGGGCACATCTGAGCCCTTTCCTCTTACGTAAGGCCGAGGTGGCCTGTTTGTCAGGTTTTTGGGGTTTAGTCTATCGTTCGGGAATTCCGACGACGGGCTTCATCCTCGTTTCGTTGTAGGGCTTCGTACCGCGCTGTGGTGTCATCACCGACTCCTTAGCCTTCGAGTGTCGCTGAGGGCCTCGAAAGAGCAATGAGGAGGAGGTCCATCAGCGTACGGCCACAATAAGCCCCAAACCCTAGAAACGTAAAACACCTCAAGCATGTATGCTTCGAGGTTTTATGGTATATGGTTTGGAGACCCTGAATCTTGTAATTTCGAGCATCAGGCCAAGCGGCTTTGGCAGCTGGCCCAGCGATGCAGGCAGTGCCTTCTGTCGCCGGCAAGGTGCCTGAGGTTCGTAAGGATCTTGTCAGTGTGTTTACATCAAAAATACTATATATATGTATATAGAAAATATAAGAAAGTTGTTTGCACTTTCATACACACACACAAACAGATATACATATATATATATATATATATATAAACACATACACATACAAACACACGCATTACGTACATACATCTATTTACATGTCTGTCTTTGTAAGCTTAAAGCCACACACACAGCATCGAAACAAGTTGTTGGGCGAGGCCTCACGGCTTTGCAGGTGCAGCGTTCCGGTCGGGTCTCGGGCACCTAGGGTTCAAGGGATGCCAAGAGCTGTGTTTGAGTCATGAGATGAGGGTTTAGGGTTTAGGGTTTAGGGTTTAGGGTTGAGTCATGGAGGCGCTGTGGGATGGCAGAACGATCCTAAACGTAACAGTAACCCAAAACCCAAAACCCTATCATGGCTTCCGGTTGCTGTCGTTTCGCCCTTTAGGCAATTTAGGCCTCCTTCCGGAATCCCACCTCTTGCAACTAACAGCTCTTTTCGGTTAAGGGTTAAGGCGCTTGGGGTTTAGCGTTAATCGAGCCCCAACTTTCTCATGCGAATCATCGCATTGCCATCAGGTTTCAGAGCAGCTGCAGCGCGAGAACACCTCGAGCCTGTTCGTTGTCTCTTGGCCCTGTAGCATCCATCTGACCATGTCTTAGATGCTGTCCGTTGGGCAAGAGGAGTTTGACACTGGTGACCGGAGTGGTCACGCGCATGATGCTGACACTGTGGAGAACTGCATGTCTGATAGGCATGATCTCCACTCGTATTCCACCACATCCCAGTGCACCCCATGCTACTCTACGCACGCTTGCCGTCCGAAAGCTGTGCGGGCCGTCAAGGGTGCAAAAGTTCGGGACGACACTTCGTGCCCTCTCGAGACTTTCCTCACTTGCGTGAGCTGTACCTCCCTAAACCCTAAACCCTAAACCCTAAACCCCTAAGGTTTTCCGGCACTCCGTGGTGCAACTACTGCTGCAAAGCTCTGCGGCTTGACACGAAAGCCGAGGGCCGCCATCTGAGACGGCTCATGCGGTTCCTGAGTATGGGATGTTGGGTGAGTAATTATTCATAATAAGTAGCAGGGCCCGCCATGGTTACAGCCCACCATGGTTACAGTCAGGTTAGACAGCTTGATCTGTGTAACAACACGGCGGAGACTGAAGGGAAAGCATCGATGTGAGAAGCTGCATTCTTTGGCGTTAGCATCATCGGCAGCAACAGATCACCATCACCGTCACCATCCTCACCTTCATCGTGTTGTTGAGCACTGTTGCCATCACCCAGTGTCATCATCGTCAAAGTCTGGCGCGAGCTTCAGCATCATTCTTGTCGTCTCGATGCGATACGAAAGAGTTGGCAGCCAGAAGCGGAGGTTTCAGCCCGCTGCAGGAGTAGAGCTGCAAGCGATCCCACAGATCGTAAATCCAACCCCCTGAACCACCACCCCTCCAGATGCCCGAAAAGAGCTTTAATCCTGAACGCTCAAACCCTCAAGCGCCAAGGCCGAAGGCCCCTACATGAAAGGACCTTAGACCCCCAAAAGCTTTAACACAGCCTTCATGCGAAGACCATGGTCCTTGGCCTCAGCATCAGAACTTCCTCAGAATCAGGTGCTTTGGTGGCGACTTCTTTCGGGACTGCAGAAAGCCTTGGAGGATGAAAGTGATGTTTGTCTGGTCAAGTCTAGTATAAGTTTCCCCCTACATGGTATCAAAGTTCAAGACACCGCACATCCTAAACCTATAGAATCTTCCTACGACCCTGGCAGAACCTTCTCTAAACCCTTGTAAGACCCTTCTAACCCTTGCTCTTGCTCTGGAAGAGGAGGGTCTTCTGGGCAACATCGTGCTGAATTCCGCTGCAGCTCGGGTGCTCCTCTCCGAGTCCGCGGCCTCTGGCGGCGTCGTTCCTGGGGACCTGGTGTGTCAGCAGCTCGCCAGCCCCCTGGCTGCAAACTTCGAAGGTTTAGGGTTTAGGGTTTAGGGTTTAGGGTTTAGGGTTTAGGGTTTAGGGTTTAGGTTTAGGGTTTAAGGGTTCAGGGCCTCAGGGCCTCAGGGCCTCGGGGTTTGCGGTTCAGAGTTTAGCACCGAGAGCTCGGGCTTTTGGGGTCTGGCTGAGGGTTCAGGGTTTATGCGCCTGGGATGAGATGCTACTGTACTTGGAGCGAATGCATATATGATCTATACATAGATATGTATAAATACATAAATAAATAAATAAATATATATATATATATAGGGCTCAGAAGACTCCGCCAGCGGA